ACACATGGCACCTGCTCACACGATCATGAGTACACTTGCACATGCACAGGCAAGCTTACAGACTCACTCATGTGCAGACTCACTCATGTACACACACAGATGCATGCACGCACAGACCATGAGGTCTGAGCCATCACTGCTGAGCCATTGCGTGCACACACAGACCATGAGGTCTGAGCCATCACTGCTGAGCCATTGCGTGCACACACAGACCATGAGGTCTGAGCCATCACTGCTGCTTTGCTCTAAGCCTCTCCAGCCTCTGTCTCATGCCCAGATCAAAGGCTTCCCTGCACACCTGCCATAGGAGACAGTTTCCATGGGGCATGGGACCAGTGTCCAAAGCGTGCACATAAAAATGTGAGGCTGCGGGTGAAGACTCCCCCAGGCTGGGAGAGGCTGCCAGAGACATATGCCCAGGTGTGCTGTGAGGAGGGAATCTGTGCAGGGAGCACGAACCCAGCCCCTCACCATCCAGCCTAGTCTCCCTGGAGAGGCCAGCAGCACCTTCTCCCCAAGACTGGAACAGGGAAGCAGAACCTCTGGTCCTATTTTCCGTTACTCTTGAGTAGAGTTCTAGAAAATTCTCAGTTGCCAGTATCCAAGAGCCAAGTAAGCACTGAGCCGAGGGGAGTCACAAGGGGTCTTCCCAGGAGCCAGCCAGGGGGCACAAGGGGTCCTCCCGAGAGCCAGCTGGGCGGCATGAGGGGTCCTCGAGTGCCAGCTGGGGTGCAGGGCCAGTCCCTGAGTGTGCTCCCTGCTCACACCAGCCACAGGTTTGGGGGCAGAGGAGTCTGGGCCAGGGCAGGTGGCACACACCACTGTGCCCTGCCTTCTGGGACTGGTTCCCCATGTCTATCTCTACCCTGCGGTCCTCACCCAGCCTGATGCTTTGAGAAGCATCCAACCACATTGCTTCTCTGCACAAAACCCTGCAGGCTCCCATCTCACACAGAGCTGAGGACACATCCTGTATCTCCTTGGAGACCCCTTCTGGCCAGACACCCTGACACGTCCTGCTTTACATCCTCCCTGCTTTCTGTCTAGCCACACTGATCTGTCCACCAACCTCGACTGTCAGGTCCCTCATCATCCCAGAATCTGGCCTTGGCTGAGTTCCTAGAGGGTCCCAACCTCCTTGCTCTCAAAGAGTCTCCACTCAAATGCCACTTCACCCAAGTCCCACCAGAGGTCCATGCCCCTCCAGCCTGGCTCGCTTCTCTCCAAATGGCTCAGTATAGGCTAACTGCACTGAGCCCTCTCCTGGTGACTGCCTGCCTTCCAGATGTTTGGGGATGAGATTTTTACTTCTTCCACTTGGTGCTATGTCTCCAGACCTGGGAGAGTACCTGGCACGGTATGCAGAATGAATAGATGACATCTCGTGCACATGACTGCGTGCTTAGGCAGACGCAAATGTATAAAATCGTCTCGTATTGTTGGGGATGGTTTCAGTTGTCCTTTTGCCTTTCAAAGTTTCCAAAACTTTTTGCATCAGTGATGGGCTGTAGCTCCCCAAGGCCAGGCTCAGGCCAGTCTCTGGACAGACTACTGTGGTGGCATCAGGAGGAGGTTCACGTCACCCACTTGCTGAGGCCACCACAGCAGTGTTTAATGACCTGAACTTAAAGCTAAATGATGAAAGGCAGGATGTAGTGAGAAGCCACACTCAGCAGCCCCCACTTGTCCTGGGGAGCACACAGTCCTCACACCCAAGAGTCACACCGAGAGGACACTGCTGGACCCAAGCCCTTATGCAGCACCTGCCTGCACCTGACACCTAGAAAGTGCAAATACTCACTGGAGTCTGAAGTTGCTGCCCTTCCTCCTGAGGATGTGCCTGGGAGGAGAGGCTGGGCTTCTGCCCACAGAATGGAAACAGTGAGAGGCCGGGAGCCCTGAGGACAGGGGCACAGCACACAGCAGGCCATGGTCCACACAGGAGACCCACTCAAGCTTGCTAGCTTCATCACAGGTGGGCTCTAGAACCAAGACAGGGCTGGCCCGGAATGACAACTCCACTCAGGATGGGGACAACACCCTCAGCTCTCTGATACTTAGAATATTACGTTCTTGAATCATTTTTTTCCCTGACCATGAAAGGCATACTTGTTGAAGGTAATTTGGAAAACACTGACAATCACAGAGGTTCTCCCATTTCACAGAGATCCCCTAGTAACAGCACCCTGCCGTGCTGTGTGTATGTGGAACTCTGAATAAACAGCCATT